TCTACCCACACGCCCATGCCTGGCAGGCTCCATGGCCCAACCAGAGGCTGACAAGTGTCCGCGTGTTCCCGATGCCACACCCTGATGCACAGTACGGTACTCAAAGCTCGTTCACAGTACCTATCTGTAATTATGTTGATAGACTTTCAGTGTACGGCTCTTGCATAGAATTCTTTACCAGATACCCATAGTCACTCGCTTGTTTGGAATCTCATGTGTGCCTTGCATTCGTCCGTGGGCCATGGTATGATGCGCTATGCGCACAAGCCATGGGTCAGTGTGGGTCTTGCAGCACACTAAGTGCCCTAAAGGATGGCGCACGAGGCCTCTTCTGGAAGGGGGTGAAGCACGGGAATGGTTCAAGAACAGTTCAAGAACACACGCTCTAGATTGGATCGCGTCCGATTTAGCAGCTCGAGATAAGCAACTCAATATCAACTCAACGGACACACACACACGACAGCATGGTAACAAGGCAATGGGTGGAAAAACAGAGGAGAGGAGTGTAGAGTGGTGAGCGGCCAAGCCCCATCCACTGCGGCCCCGCAACACACGACAACAGCTCAGCAACCCTTGTGATTGTGATGATCCCAGGGGCTGCCTGCAGTGCAGTGGGAAGAAACTGCTCCACATGCCAGGATCGCACCAGAGCAGCAAAACACATGACCACCCCATCGCGCATCAGCCCTACCCCTATCAAACCTTGCCCCACCCCATGTGATGTAATCCCGTCAGAGCAGGGAGCAGGGGGTCAGAGCAGCGTGCAGCACCCACCCTGTGCGTCCATGGTGCCGCCCAGGCCCTGCTGCAGCGCCTCCAGGCGGGCCACCACCTGTGTGAACTCAGGGCGCTTCTCCGCATCCGCATCCCAACACTCCTGCATCAACGCTGCTAGCTCTGGCTCACACCCCGCTGGCACCTCCGGCCGCATGTTCTGTGATGGGGGGAGGAGGGGAGGGGAGTGGGTGGGGATGACGGGATGGAGGAGATGGAAGATGAAGCTATCAAAGGGGAGGTTGCTTGGTCGTCACTTGAAAAGGGAAAAAAGCGGTGGGTGAGCATTATGAAAAGTCACGAGGGCACATGTGTAGAGGCATGGGGATGGGCATAATGACGGGCATGGGGATAAGCATGGGGGCAGGCACTGGAGGCACAAGTGGGGCATGAAGGCAGCAGTGTGCAGAGCTGGATTCTTCAACCTCTACCACCAGCCTGCACACACTCTTTCTGCCCTCTGCTATCTGCTCTCCATTCTCTGCGTTCCTGTGTTCGTTCTACAACACTTTATCTGTGCAAACGAATGCTTCCCTGTGCGCCCACAGTTCATCTCAGACTCACCCGCCCACCGCCCGACCCCCGACCGTGTTGACAAGTGTGCAAGCATGCATCCCATCCCACCCACCTTGTTAACGACGTTGAAGGCGAGCTGGATGAAGGTGAGCCCCTTGAACGGCAGGTCGCTGCTGACCAGCTCCCACAGCACGATGCCGAAGCTGTACACATCCACCTTGCGTGTGTACGGCTTGTGGTCTATCACCTGCACAGAGGGGGAGGGGGGGAGGGGTGCGGATGGGAAGGGGAATTGATGAGTGAAATGCGAGTGACCCACAGCATAATGCTCTCCCAAGCTGTACCCGTCCACCTTGCATGTGTCCGGCCTGTGGTCGATCAGCTGTGCGTGTGAGAAGCAGGGGTAGGGGGAGGGAGCAGAAAGGGGAGTCGGGGAGTGAATTGTAATTTTCTCCAAGGCAGCATGCCTGCTGAAGCTGTACACGTCCACGCTGCGTGGGCACGGCTTGTGGTCTATCACCTATGTGTGAAAGTTTGTGGGGGGTTGGGGGAAGGTTTGTGTCATTGGAGGGTGCATGCATGGGGAAGTGCATGGGGCCCGCATTGGGGCGCATGGGGGGCACATGAAGGGCGCGCGGGGGGCACATGGGGGATGCATGGGGCCATGTATGGGGGCATGTATGGATGGGTGTATGTATGGAGGGACGCACGCATCTCATGTACTCACATGCAGCACACTGGCCAGCTCACCTCGGGCGCCATTCAGCGCACGGTGCCAGTCTTGCACGTCATGTGGTTGGGGTTCTTGGCCTCCGTGCGCGCCCTTCCTACCCTCAACACCCATGCACTCACTCATCTCCCACTCTCCACCCCCACCGCCTCACCTCAGGCGCCATCCACCGCACGGTGCCGGTCTCGCACGTCATGTCGTTGGGGTTCTTGGCCTCCGTGCGCGCGACGCCAAAGTCGGCGATCTTAACGGTGCCCTTGTGGTCCAGCAGCAGGTTGTCGGACTTGAGATCGCGATGCACCACGTCGCGCGCATGCAGGTAGCTGGAAAGTTGAAAGGGGGGGTGGAAGGGGGAAAGAGGAGGAGGAGGGGAGAGAGGTGCGGGGAGAAAGAGGGGCGAAAACCCGGGGCGACAACCACTTTCTCCTCCATCAACGGCCATTCATGCCACCAACCCCCAGCTCTCATCTATTTCCTTCCCAACCTGCCCCAACCACCCTCCTCCATGCCCAACCCCCTCACCCATCCCAACCACCCCTCTTTCTCTTACACTCCCCTTCCTCCCCACTCCCCCCTTTCGGCGCACCAGAGGCCGCGCGCGATGTGCAGCGCGAGGCGGACGCTCTCCTTGGGCGGAAGCTTGCCGCGGCGGGCGAGGTACCCGCGCAGCGTGCCGCCCCCCATGTACTCCGTCACGATCGCCCACAGCGGCTGTCCCGGCGGCGGCTTCGCGTCGCTCGGCGCGCGGATGTTCCCCGCGTTCAGCGACGCGCCGATGAACTGGCGAGGGGGGCAGGGGTGGGGGAGGAAAAAGGGGAGGGCGGAAGGAAGGGGAGGCGAAAGATGGGAAGGGAGAAGGGAAAGAGGGGAGGGGGGCAGATGCGGTGGGAGCGAGTGATAAGGGGATGGGGAGGCACACTACAGAGCATTCCAAATTGCTAGGTCCATTCCATGTTGTTATCAGCACGACGTTGCCTTGCGACGGTGAATCACCTGCACGACATTCGCGCGGGACAGCGACGTTGGCGTGCGAGAGCTGCGACATCGCATTACCTGCACGACGTTGGCGTGCGAAAGCGTGAGACAAGGCAGTACCTGCACAACGTTGGGGTGGCTGAGTGTGTGCCACACTTTGATCTCCTGCAGGAAGGAGCTTTTCAATCCCTCCAGATCCTTGGCCGCCATGTCAGCAGGCACGTTCAGCAGCTTCACCGCCACGTCATCGCCCTCGTACAGCCCGTGAAACACCTTTCCGAACGCGCCCGCCGCCAGCTGGTTCGTGCACATCACCTAGGGACACGGCAGGGTTGCGAGAAGGAGACCTTAAAAATCAACGGGCGAGAGGTAATTTGAGTCGGCTCAAAACTCACTCTGCTCTTTAGTCAAAGACAATCCTTGAAAATACTCACAAATCGTCTCTACTCACCTTGCTCATATCCAGAGTCCACGGCGCCGCTCCACCGCTCTCATCCGCCACCTTCGCCGCCGCCTTACCCATTCCGCCCTCCGCCTTCTCCGCCGCTCCCCCGTCTGCCTTCCCCTTGGCGGCTGCGCCTCCCCCGCCCGCCAGCGCGTCCATGGTGCTCAGATCCAGCAGGTCCGCGCGCACCATTCCGCCGCCCTCCGTCCCCATCTCCCCAGCCTTCTTTCCGCTTCAACTTCCGCTTACCACGCGACTAATTTGTGTTCACTGTCTCGACTTTCACTTTCACTTCGCGCCACGCTTCGGGTCGGCTCTTTTCTTTCACCAAGCATGCGCGAGAGGTGATTGAGCGACTCGAGAGTCTTCGGCTCCGCTCTAATCTTTCACCGAGCATCCGCCATTCTTAACGAGCAGCGACACGGATCTCCGCTAACTTGTCTCGCGCGGGAGTCTATCCGCCGGTCGTCCCACGGAGGTCGTTTGGTCCGCTTCTGCGTGCTGGCTTTCCGCAACGCGCTGCGGGTTCAGCTACTAGAGGGCGACGAGAATTCATAGTGCGAATTCATGGCGACGGGTGAGCTGGCGCACTGCGATACGGTGCCCGATGCCGACGAAACTTCGCTCAGTTCTTCCAGCATCTGTGGAAGCCAGCATGCGTCGCGATTGGCTGTCACCCGTGTGTCAGAGTGCACTGCATTGCGGTGTTCTACTTATATGCTGCAGAAAAAACAAACGCTAACTAATCGCACTTCGTTGTACGCTTGAAAATCCACCGAAATAGACGTTCTTGGAAAGAAGAGCGTGGTTTCAGGGCCTCGCAGCACAATTCACTGGAAGACTGTAACGAGCATTTAGTTCCCGAGTGCAAGACTGACAAGAGGATATGGTGCTACTGCTGCTGCAGGCGCGAGTGCAGAACGAGCACGCAACTCCCTAGACTTGCTGTGGAGATGAGAGAGGTTAGGCAAAGAAACAACTCGAGGAGGACAACTTCGAGATCCAATCCAAACCTGGTTTGATTTCTCTTTGAATGCCAGCAGCCAGCATTCGAATCGTGTTGTGTTGACAACCCCAAGGCAGTGATTGACGCGATGGAGACGAAAAACGGGTTGGCTTGGTACTGAAGTTACCACGTGCGAGTTCCAATTGGTAGATAATGCCCGCCGAAACACACGTGGCTTGTTTCTATGGCCTGAAGGATGACTCTTCGCCCCACGTGAAGCCCATTGTAGATTTACACGATATAGCAACGCTACGGAGAACTAATTTCTCAGAGCACCCATGAACCCAGCATGACGCTCACTCATCTACTCCTAATGCAAACGACATCCCTCCTCACTTGGTTATAGATTCTTTAGGCATCGTTTGTGAAGAAAGCATAAGATTCTTTCTCTATTCAATGGCATTCTAATCACCATAAAAGAGCACAACAATTTGATATAATTACCAGTTCCTACACCAGAACTGATGGTGGAAAGAGACAAGAGCTACACACTAGCCCTTGCGAGATACTCGAGTCCTACCTACGTAGCATGTAAGGTATTCCACCTCCTCGACCTACGTGGCATAGGCAGGCTGGTCAGCTGCGGGGTCGTCTTGAGAGGGGAGCCAATGGGAGGTGAGGCGCCTGAAGCGCATTGCCGCATCCAACAACACTCTCTTTAATGCCAGGCCCAGTGCAGCAAGCAGCACAGCCAGCGCTGCCAGCACCACCCTCACCTTGAGCACCACACTGCCGCCCATTCGCCCAAACGCCGCTCCCAGCAACAGCCACAGCCGCTTCCTCCTCGCCACCGCCTCCGCTGCTGTCGCCCTCCCCTCCCTCTCCTCCCACTCACTCTCACTCCCACTCTCGTACCCACCCCCACTACCAGACAGACCAGCCACTCCAACACTGCCAGGTGGCTGTCTCTGACTGGCGAATCCCAGAGCGGCAGCAGGCGGGGGGGGGCGGGGGGTAGGGGGCGAGGAGGCGGGTGGGAGAGGAGGAGAGCTGGGAGGCGGTGATGGCGTCGAGGGGCAGCTGGGCCACGCCCAGTGAGGCGCACAGGGCGTCTGCCACCACACGCGCCAGCTTGTCCCGCGCCACTTCCGCCTCTGGGGATACGAACGCCTCTGCTAGTGCCCGCATGTCCTGGGTGGGGAGGAGAGAAGTGGGGTGGGGTGGGGCGGAGAGTGGTGGAGTTCGGTGGGTACGTAGATGGAGAGTTGTTTGATTAGAACCAGTGAGGCGCACAGCGCGTCCGTTTCCGGGGATACAAATGCCTCTGCTAGTGGCTAGTGCT